TTTCCATTTCCTAACAAATGGGGCAATGTCATTCTTTCTGATGGAGGCATAGAATTCCAGTGTGTGTGTGTGTGTGTGTGTGTGTGTGTGTGTGTGTGTGTGTGTGTGTGTGTGTGCATATATATGCAATAAACATAGTTGTGCTGGTAGCTTTATAGTTTTGTTTGTGATCATTTGGGTAAATGCCCAAAAGTGGGATTCCTGGGTCAGAGGGGAGCTCTATGTGGAATCTTTTGAGGAACCTCCATACTACTTTCCAAAGTGGTTGAACAGTTTACACTCCTACCAACAATGTAGTAGAGTTCCCTTCTGTCCACATACCTTCCAGTCCACATCCCCTCCAGCCTCTGTTGTTATTAGAGTTCTTGATTCTGCCCATTCTAACTGGAGTGAGGTGGAATCTCAAAGTTGTTTTGATTTGCATTTCTTTTATGGCTAGAGAGGTTGAGCATTTCTTCATGTGTCTATTAGCATCCTTCTTTCCTCTTCAGAGTAGTTTCTCTTTAAGTCTTTAACCCACTTATTTATTGGGCAGTTGTTTCTTTGAGGATTTGTTGTTGGGGGATTTAATTTTTTCAGTTCCAAGTATATTTCAGATATGAGACCCTTTTGTTCGTTGTATGGCTTGTGAAGTTAAGCAAAATGAACCCCAAGATAGGGACACAAGTGGTTTTTCTTTCTTGCTATTTTTTCTAACATATTTATAAAGTACCATGTGATTTTTTTGTTGCTATGGATGTTCCTCCCCTGTCGTATAACCCCTGTTTGCACTGTATTTGATGTCAGTATAATTTGGGGAGGGGAATGGAAAAAAACAAAATGTTTAAATAGGGATACAGGTTGACCCATTGTAACAATAGATGTACAAGACACTATGTTGAAAAACGAACTTTACAATTTAAGCAGGGTGGGGGGGGTGAGTTTAGTTGTAGAGGTGGGGGGGAGGGTTGGTAGGGGAAAAACAAAGGAGGAGGTAATAATGCATGTAACTGTAACCCCTCTGTCCAGTATTTTCACAATAAAAATCTTATTAAAAAGAAGGTTCAGGTCTAGCATGTAAAGGGATTACAATCTAAGAAAAAGGCCAGACAGTACTAAATGAAGAAAGTCTAAGGAGCTGATAATCAGCTCTACCCAGGAAGGCAAATGATGTTTCTCCAGCAGTGATGAGTTAGTGACAGCAATGCGTTCTTGCTCACCATTCCTCATGTCAGTCTCCCAAATGTCAACTTTCTTTCTAGCAAAATCTGGAGATGCTCTATTCAACATAGAACACTCTAGTTGAGTTGGGTATGGTTGTTCACATCTATAATCCCAGCATTTGAGAAGTTAGGAATATGAGCCCAACCCATCCTGTAGAGACTATAAGGTGAGCCTGGGCTACAGAGGGAGATATTGTCTGTCAAAAAACAACAGCAATAGCTGGGTGCCAGTGGCTCACACCTGTAATCCTAACTACTCAGGAGGCTGAGATCTGAGGATAGCAGTTCAAAGCCAGCCCAGGCAGGAAAGTCCATGAGACTCTTACCTCCAATAAAAACCACTCAGTAAACCAGAAGTGGTGCTGTGGCTCAAGTGATAGACCACAGCCTTGAGGTGAAGAGCTGAGGGACAGGGCCCAGGCCCAGAGTTCAAGCCCCACGATCTATCAAAACAAAAATAAAGAACAACAGCAAACACATGACATTCAAAGGATGCCACTTTCCACTAATGGATGTTTAGGGTTTTCTTCCTATTACAACTGTGTCTTTATGTTTTACTGCTTACTTGTATCCTATTAATTATCAGATAAAGTGGTATCAAGCATCGCAAAATAGGTAACTTTTTTCTCCAGTTATTTCTATATCAACTAAATGATTCTTGCCTCCACATTTGTCCTCCTTTCTCATGAACATTCCTTGAAAGTAATAGTACTATAGTGATTGATAAAGAGATAGAGATTATATCTACATTGCCCAACTCCTATTTTTATCTTTGGTCGTTGCCTTGCTCTAGATACTTTTAGGTCATTCACTGAGAGAAGACTCCTCCATAACCTAGAGGAAATGTATATGGCATTTGTCCTTCCTTCTGAAATTTTAATGATTCTAAATATGGCATCGTGGGTCTCTCATTCTTCATACAAAACCATAATTTAGCTGTCCAAATGGTAGTCTTTCACATTAGAAGTGAATTCCACTTTCTAGTGTGCTTTATTAGTCAGTATACCACTACTAGGAGTCCCCAAAGAAGGAGAAAAATATTTTTATGGCCAATGTGATGATTCCTCTGGTATCTGACTACCATAATTAGAGTTAGACCAATGAATCATATGTAAGTTGTTGCTATATCCAGTTGTAACACACACACACACACACACACACACACACACACACACACACACACATGCTTGCCCTCTTGCCTTTTCTGATTCTTGAAGCTATACAGCCATAGATCAATTTTGCGAAGGTCTATGCCAAGGTCATTCAAACATTCAGTTCCATAAAGAGTGGAAATAAAAGTGATAATAACCATAAACATGCATGCCCTTTCCTCTACTTCATTCTCTCTCTCTTTTTACTTCCAAGTAGATCTCTTTTTACATAAATACACTCTATCTAGTAAATATTTTTTGCCACTGTCTTTTTCTTGAAAAGCCTGGTCTTGAGCAGTAGGTAATACCATGTAATTTTACCCAATACATATTTTTAGGAATTCTCTTTTCTCTGTGATAAGTTGAGACTTAACTGATTTGTTGAATCCTGTGACACAGGATTGACAGACTGACATTTTAGAAACCTCCAACACCCAGGCGATTCAGGTAAGACTTGAGGATGATTGATTGGAATGCACCCTGAAGCCAGCACCTTAATTATACTGCCTACTCTATTGAATTTCTGTTGAATGGAGTTTGGGGAGTATGATTTCTATCGGTTGATATGTGATTATTATCATTGCGGTATAAGCATATTTATCGTGTTTCTTTTCTTTCTTTCTGTTTTTTAGATCACCAGTCTCTTCAGAAGATCATGGTAAGAATTGGTCTTTTCTTTATACCAAATTCAAATTCATTATTGAAAGTTTTCCCTGGCCCTTATGTTTCTCTATCAAAGCAAAGAATTACTCAAAGAATTACTGTTTCAGTACTGACCTTATATCTTTGATTACAAAATGTCAAACATCTTCTCACAAAACAGTGCACACTGGCTGAATATGATACACTGTTTTCCAAATCTGTTATACCCAATTTGGTTGACAAATACTGTGAAATGTAATGGATCCTGCCTGGCTTCTATCCCTGTCACCAGAGGCTTTTGTGACTTTGGGCTAGGCATATATCTTCTTTGAAAAGATTTTCACTTTTTAAGTAGGGATAGGAAATATTCCCCAAAGCTCATGAGACATGGCAGGACTATGCCCCAGCACATCCATCTCCAGAATGTTCTAAGTTGGAATGGAAGCTAATTAGTGAGAGAGAAGCGCTGTTACCTAGTTGAGGTGAATTATTTGCATTTAAGAGACAGCTTGTTTCGCCCAAAGGACAAAATATCGAATTACCTCCTTCCTGACCTTTATTCATTTATTCCATTGGTCTTTCAACATTGCTCATATAGTGGTGATAATGAGTCAATTTAGTCATGTAGTTATATTGCACAATTATATCAATATTCACCTTTAACTAAGGGATGCATATGTCTTTCTGGAGGTGTTAGAAACTGCCCCATAACTTGGTAACCATCCTGTGGATTTCCTTTCTCTAGTTCACAAAACCAGCTCATAGCAAAACTATTCTCTTTGACCATAGGATGCAGTCTTTCCAAGAGACCAATAGCTGTGTCTGGCTTCCCAGTATTGTATTTTCATATGGATTAATTATTATTGTTTTTTGGCTCCGGTCGTGGGGCCTGAACTCTGGGCCTGGGCGTGGTCCCTCAGCTCTTCAGCTCAAGGCTAGGGCTGTACCACTTGAGCCTCAGCCCCACTTTCGGCTTTTTTCTTTTTGCTTATGTGGTGCTGAGGAATCAAACCCAGGGCCTCATGCATGCAAGCCAAGCGCTCTACCACTGAGCCACCTTCCCAGCCCCTCATATGGATTAATTAATTAGCCTCCCTACTCTCTTTTTCCCTTCTACACTCCAGACATATGGTACTATATCTATCACCATAGTTTCATTTCTCCCTACTTTTCCCCATGCCATTCATGTAGAAAATGACTGCTTCCTTTGGCCATATAAATAATTTCTGCTTACCTTACCTCATTGTTTTGGAGAGCTTTCTCATCCACTGATTATTCTACCAAAAGTTTTTTTCCCCATTTTGTAGGGCTTAGTATGAAAATTTGATACTTTCTTTAGCAGGTTCCTCTATTAGGCTGACTTCTTTGGTATGAATGGGTAGTTAACCTTAAAATGTATTTATTAAATGAATGTATTGAGGAAATAGGTAATGTGGGGTAATCTTTATGCTGACACATCATAATGTCTCAATATTGGAATGAAGCTGTATTGTGTCCTATAGAAGAACCATAGGGAAAATTATGTTCAGGCCCATTAAGTCAAAATTAGGTAATCAACCACCTAATGGTAACCTGTTATTATATGCTATTTTGCTGATTGTTGCTGGTATGAATGGGTTTTTGATTGCATATTTATAGGTCCTTGGGCTTCCATGTCCAAATGATAAACTAGAAATTGTTTGAATTAGTTTCACCCTTAATGTCCTTTGGTTGTATTTGCTTTCCCATCTATAAGAATGTATCCTCCATTCAAAAACAGTAGCAGGGATTCTGAATTGCAATTTTCTGATCCATTAGGACTTATTAAAGGGTTATGAAATATCAATGAGCATATGACAAACCCTTTGAAGCCTTGGATGGTGGCTGATACCAGAAAGATGTATCCTCAGTGTTAAGAGCAATTGAGAATTGATTATGTTAGCAACTCATATATTTGACTAATTGAAGAAATAGTGTCAAAATTAGAAAGTTATTGTATTTTGTGATTTTAATAATGTATTAAATATCCAGGCTTCTCAACTTGCTTCAGTAACTTTTACAGTTGTTCAAATGTGTAATGCTGATTTTATCTAAATTTATCAAATTGTTTCTCATCTCCTATTTAATATATCTTTGGAGAAAAATTCTTTATATTTTTTGTTACAAGTATTTTCTTTCTAGCACTCAATACATCTTCCCTTATGTTTACATGTTTTAAGACTTTTTGTTTGCTAAGGACAACATAAAATCTCTTGAATGTCTCACCATCCATCTTACATGCCATTTGCATACCATGACAACCTGGAGGGACATTTGTAAAAGAGGGAAGTCAAGATTTTCAAATTTATAGTAAAATCTTTGAAGCACATTGAACAAATGGATTTTGAAGTTGGAATGTAAAAGGAGCCAGACTTTGATCTTCTAGTTTGCTCACTTTCCAACCAATGACTTGCTTCCCTCCATGATCACTGCTTTTGAGACAATTCATTCTAGACAAATTTAGTCCAATCATCCTGCCATACTTTATTCCTATAGATGAGTTACAAGGATGTATCATTCTTTCTTGATCTTAGTTTGTTGTCTTTGCCTGTAGAGCTAATCACATCTATTCTTCATACCACCTCATGGATTGTTGTGCATTCTAATAGGAAATCATCTGTGAAATTGGCTTCTAGTATGTTAACAGTGGCTCTGATATAATATCATTTTTTCCCTAGCAACTAGGTGGTCAGAGAGAAAGTACAGATATACGGATGATGTTTGCCTAGCCTTGCATCTGGCCTTAATTTGAAAAGATAGAAGATGGAGGTTGTATGTTAGTGACACATGACTGCAGGCCCAGCTCCTCAGGAATCTGAGGCAGGAGGCTTAGAAGCAGGCCAATATGGGCAATTTAACTAGACCCTACCTAAAAAAAAAAAAGAAAAGGGAAAATTAAAATATAGGGGAATGGTTAAGCGGAGATCTCTCTCTTTCCACCTTATCGTAGGCATGAACTTTTTACTGGAAACCTTTATATGTGTATCAGAAAACACAGTTTGTTCCTCAGTGCCAAATTAAAGGCAGAGATTATTATTAGCAACATGGTAGAATAAGCAATACAAAAGCACAGCTGACCTTTAACTTATTTCTGTGAATATAAAAGAGTATCAAGGTCACTGAGAATAAAAGCTAAAGTGTATTGAGCACTTATGCCAAAATACTGTGCTGAAATGCTCCATAGCATTGAATTTCACTTTTAATATATAACCTACTACAGTAGATGCATTCTCTCTAGCTTTGCAGTTGGAAGGGAAATAGGCCCAGAATACTTTTAAGTAAGTTAAGAACTCCTTCTGGGTGCTGGTGACTCACACCTGTAATCCTAGCTATTCAGGAGGCTGAGATCTGGAGATTGCAGTTCAAACAGCCCCTGCAGCAAAAGGCTGTAAAACTCTCATCTCCAATAAACCATCAGAAAAACCTGAAGTGGCGCTGTGGCTCAGATGATAAGAGTGCTTGCCTTGAGCTGAAAAGCTGAGGGACAGCACTCAGTCCCAGAGTTCAAGCCCCATGACTGACCCCCCACACACAAAAAAAAGAAAGAAAGAAAAAAGAAAAAGAACTCCTGACTAGTAAGTGGTAGAGTTCATTTTCAAACTTAATTCTGAAAATCTAGCCCTCATCTTTCATCCACCACATTCCTGGGAAAGCACAGAAATGATTGTCAGCCTTAAGGTGAATTGACAGAATGATCAAGGGCAGGGGTAGGGGTGTTTCTTCCTTCTAACAAGAGTTTATTTACTGCTGTGTAAGTAATTCCTTTTTAATGACAACACAAAACAGAACAAAAAATAACAATCTCTCTCTCCTGCTGGGAATGATTTCATCCCTGTAGAAGAAGTGAAATACCAATGTCACATTTTCTCATAATTAGTTAACTGAGTGAAACCCGAGCTTCGGGGAAATGTGCCATGCTGCATCCCAGTGGGAACATTATATTTTAATGCGACATCTGGAAGCTGGAGTCCTACTCCTTGTCAGGAGATAAGCGTGGCAGTGATTGATTGCCCTGTCCTCTGAGTTTTCTCTGCATTTAGTGCCTCTCACTTCATCATTTAAATTGCTCCTGGAGCCGCCTCCTGTGCCCAGGCGACGACTCCAGCCCTGAGCTCTTTCTGTCACTGGAGCACATTAGTTTATGGGCTGCTCAGAATGGCCGTCGTAGGCCTCCACCTGTGCCAGCACATCAAGGGAAGGTCATCTCGCAACAAATGTCTGCTCCCCTACCAAGTAAAAGGCATTGATCCACTGGTTTGAAAGGAAATGCTGAACACCCTGCTTGCTTCCTCCTGGACCATCAGAACAGAGACATCCCTCTTCTGCCCCATTTCCTGGACTTGTCATGGCTGTCACATCTATAGTAGCTTTTGGGTGGTTGCTGTTGTGGCAGTAACCACAGACAAGGCACTCAGAGGTTTCTGGAGGTAAAGTTGTAACAAACACAATCCCGGACTCCCAGGGCCCAAGCCTGAGTCTGTGGACAGACTCGGAGGTGACTACTTCATAACAGGCTGTGCACATGTTGTGGTAGGACCCAGCTACATGACATCATCGCTCTCCCTGGAGAATTCACTTTTCTCACTACTATAAACATATACTCATTGATAAAGTTCTACTGAAACAGACACTTGCAAAATGTGTAAAATAAGCAGGACATGGGTGGCTCCTGCCTGTCATCCTAGCTACTCAGGAGGCTGAGATCCAGAGGGCTGTAGGTTCAAAGCCAGGCTGAGCAGAACCGTTCACTAGGCTCCATCTCCAAATAACCAGCAAAAAATAGGGCTGGGGACATGGCTCCGATGGTAGCACCAGTGTAGCAAAAAAGCCAAAAGAAGGAAAGACTTTCAGTTCAAACTCCAGTACTAACCACCTCGACCCCCCATAAAAAGGTGAATTACTTTGTCTGCTTAGATTAAGTAACCAAAAGAAACCACTGTAATGCATTTATTAGACCAAGAAATAATAAATTTATTATAATCTGAAAGCTTCATTTTT